TCAAAGGTTTTCTCACACACAAATATGATCATGATTGTGAAAGGTATTTTTCACAAATGGATTTACATTAGTGAAAGGTTTTCTCACTATGCTTGAATTGTAATTGAAGGAGCAATTCTATATTTTGATCTTTAAGATGTGGATTGGTATTTATAATTGACGTTTCTATGTTATAACGATATTTGATTTTATCTATTCCGTTGGGATTTAGACTTAGAACCGAGAGGGCTTTAAGGTGGAGGCTCAAATAGGGAAGTCTCTAATAGTGACCTCTAGTCCCTAACTATGTGCCCCCGTAGGATTATCTTAAATGACCTAACTAGTGGATTCATTTAGCAAAAGATGATGCGTACGGATTCTACCTTGGCAAGTAGAATCCCTTTCTTTCGGCATGAGGGATATACCGAATTCCATGATATAGCTCTCATGGTCTTATTGTCGATTAAAACTAAAATCCCATAAAAAGTTTCTTCAAAGCTTTCTTATGTCTCTTATTTTAAATGTGTTGATCATATCTTATGATTTATATGTCTTTGCTTCTTTATGCCTTCAAATGTTCAAATGTTGGTCATACCTTACATGTTTAAACTCTTCATGATATCATGTCTATTTATGGATATTTTCCTATACTTAGTACATTCCATGTACTATTTCATGCTTGTATCTACATTGTCTCGTTAATATAAGGTTTGACACTCCTACCTCTCACACTCGTGGCTAGTTGATCATCCAATCAGATTCAAGAGTTGGTGAGTCCTCATGTTCCGAGGACCGAGACACTTTTACTTGCTTTATGTCTTTATAGTGTTTGGATGATGTATGTGGTGTATGAGTTACATCCCAACCACTTATTTGATTTTTTGATGGCTTGTTTAGACTATATTACTCTTCTGCTTTATCAAACTCTTTTGGAATACGAAAATGCTACTTTTGAAATTTTTGTTTCGATTATCTTGTATGATGTATGCTAAGTGTCTCGTTTAGGGCCTTTTGAGGTTCTATACACCATGTTACACCTAGGGTATACTTTGAACTATGACAAAATCCACCAGACTTGACTTTTCCAAAGAATGGTTGCATACAAGAGAACTAGGACCTAAAATCCCCTCAGTTAGCATCAAAACTAAGCAATAGTTCATGAATTTGAGTCCAATGAGTTGGTAAAATACTGACTCATCATGGGGTGATGATCGTTTGTGGTTTCAAGTGTTTTCTTCCGTATTTTCTTCAAATTAGTGAGTTCATCTCCTCCATTTTTAAGCTCGATTAATGGAGAATTTTCTCAATTCTTACCATTTCAGTTGGTTCAAATGTATTTCTCTTCCCCTTTGCTTTCTATTGCGATTTTTTGCGTTATTTCTGTTATTAATTGTTGTTTCAGAACTTGATTTCTTATTTTTTTCAAATCCTTTAAAGTTTAGTTTTTTAATCATTTGAGGTTCGATTACACTCTCGTCTTTGCTTAAATTCCGAGCATGTGATCCTCACCTTGAGGGGAATATAATGACAGAGTTAGTTTTTTGTTTTGTTGTCAAGTTTTGGGGGTCAAATTTTGACTTAATTTCTGGTTCAAAATTTATAATATTGATATGGGTATTTTTAGTACTATATTGGTGTGAAGTTTCTGTTTTTGATAGCATGACGACATTTTGAGGCTATTTAGAAGGAAAAAGCTTCTGAGGTGAGGTTCGAGTGCTTTTGACTTCAAGGTAGATTATGGTCTTATTTTTTAGATTTAGCTTAGTTAGTTTCTATATAAATTAGGTTGCATGATTTTTAGGAAGGTTGTAGGATGGACTTTTAGGCTTGTATGATCCTTAGTTATATTTTTGACCAATTTCTGCACTTTAGACTAGAATTAGCACTCTCATGCCTCCTATTTTTATTTGGTTTCTATTTAAGCTCAGTCTGCCTATGATGCCTGAGTACCCATGTTTTGGTACTCATATTGTACTTCTTAATATTTTTTGATGTAGTGTCTTGTACGAGTTACCCTCGTTGATTTTTGATCTCCCGTGGTCGTTGCTGATTGGATCGTGGTGAGCTCTTATCGTCCAGAGATTTACTACTTTCCCTCTTTTGTATTGTATATGTACTTTGTATTTTGATCAAACAAACTTGTTGTTTATGGTCCCTTTTTGTACTTAGACGCTCATGTACCGGTGACACCAGGTTCGGGGTTTAGTTCTTATGTATATTTCGTCTTTGCTAGTTCTTTTATCCCCATGGAGCTCCCACCTTTTCTCCTTGGTGACTCGAACTCACACCTTAAGGTTGGAAGTGAGGGGTGTTTACCATCTAAGCAACTTCCTCTTGTCATTCGTCTTTCCTAGTTACTTTTGGACCTTTACTGTATATTTTTTACCGTATGTACATATCTATGTTATGGCCCTATTCTATGTTTATTTTGCTTCTTTGTTATATTCTAGTCTTAGCTAATCGTTTGTCTATACTGGATTTGACTTGCCTACTTGGGGTTTATGACCGGCGTCATCATGATCTGATTTTGGGTCATGGCACATCATGACCTTAAATTTTGGATTGTAACACTTAACCATGTTAAATATCACATGTTTTAACTTAAATTTATCGTTTAACGCTTAACCATAGGAATTCAATGTCGTTTAATGTAGACCTCCAGTGATACAAATATTTTCATCTGTAGGCATCAATCAAAATCCAATGTTGATACATGCATTGCCATTTGACCCTCATTATTTTATTTTTTTTCAAAAACATTATTTCCAAATATTATTATTGGGAGATAAAATGGGAATATTGTTTATAAAAAGAGAAATGTGTATTCATTCCTTTTGGGACAATGGAAGTGTTCTCTTTTTGAAAAGGAGCTAAATATTTGTCCACACATAATATTTACATCAAATCAAATTGAATTTTTGTGTCCAAGTAATAAATTTTGGTAAAATTATGGAACTAGTCAAAATTACTAACTTATTTATTGAAAACAGTTATCGTTTAAAAATATTATTAAAAAGAACAATATTTTATGTATATAGTAAATTAAAGGTATCCTAAATTAAATCCTAATTTTGTTCAACTAAAACCATGTTTTGGGCTAAAACTAAAACCAAAAAATTACCCACGTTCTCTCCCCATCAACTCCCTCCATGTTTCATTGTTAAAATTTTACCACTTCCGCTTCTCTCTCATCAAAGTTCACAATATTTTTTTCCTGAAATTGTAAAAATCCTTCAAAGGATTTACATCACTTAGACACGAAATTTTGACTAGTTCTATAATTTTCACTATTCCCGCTTCTCTCTTTTGCAATTTTAATAGATTTTTAGGAATCTGATTTCTATGTTTTGGTTTGTTTTTTGTATGGATTCTATATTCAAATGTAGTCACCGTTTCTAAATGTTTTTGTAATTCTTTGAATCATTCAATCATTCACTGTTTGTATCCAAACAGATTACATTCAAAATAAAAATGTATTTCGAAGCTTAATTGTATTTTAAAGTGTATTATGTTTCATATACAATTTGTATCACGTCATCTAAATTGTATTATATGCAACTTTCAAATTCAAAACCATTCAATCATTCACTGTTTGTATTCCAAACAAACTACATTCAAAGTAAAAATGTATTTCGAAACTTAATTGTATTCTAAAGTGTATTATGTTGAATATACAATTTGTATCACATTATCTAAATTGTAGTCTAGGCAACTGTGTATTTGAAACTTCCTACATAAAAATTCATGTCCATTCTATCTTTCAATTGTTGTATAAAAAACAAATTGAATTCAAAATAAAACTTTCAATTGTTGTATCCAAAACAAATTGAATTCAAAATAAAACTTTCAATTGTTGTGTCCAAAACAAATTAAATCCGAATAGATTTTCTATAGATTATCTCCTACTGATCTAATTTTGTATTCAAAATAAACTTCACTGATAGCGATCTCAATTTTTCTAGCAAAAACGCTGATCAATCGACTTGAGTTCGAGGAAAAAGAAGGATTATCAATGGAGAATTGAAATCAAGGACAATTATCAGTCGCTAATTGAGTTTGAGGAAGAAGGAAGAGATCACCTATTTTGGGTCTCCTAGCCTTTGTAACGGAAGTAATGAGGATTTTCAACACTATTACCTAATTTAAAAGTTTCTCCCTTGATTTTCTCTAATTGATTATTTCTTAGTTGTATTCTATTAAATTAAACTTCTGGGAAAGATTACATAAATCAGCCCCATTGCAAACTAAAATATAGTTGTTTATTTTAAATATTAAAAGTGTAGCTAATAAGGGGTCCTATTTAATGCTAAAAGTTAGTTGTTTGGAAAATTGTCCCCTAAATTTAAGTGAAACACCTCTTTTAAGTGATAGAAGTATAAACTATTGGACTGGGTAAATCCTCCCCCCCCCCCCCCCCAAAAAAAAAAAAAAAAAACCAAACACCAACCCCATAAGGACCTTCTAGTGAAATGATTATCATATTTGAGACCGAGTCATCAGCCAATTTGTGAAGTGGTTTTGCAACAACTAAGAAAAGTGGGAAGAATCTGGGATTTGCTTCCCTCTATAGAAGTATACTCCATTTTAACTTTGAGCTTATGGAATATACCGTTAGGTTATTTCTTATGGACTCCTTATGCTAAATTCATATTTGGTAAAAACTAAGAACATTACCATTGATAACAATAAAAGCAAACACGTAAAAAGCACCTAATCCCACACCCAGTAAAGCTTTAAAATGGGAGTTGCATCTAATTAAATACACAGTGCTGAATGCAAAAATCCTCTACACCTATGAGTTTTCCAACTAGAGTATACCAATTCGTATTTTTTAGAATGAAAATTGCTAGAAGTGAATATTGCAGCTCAAAAATCCTCTTTACTAGCTATGTTGCGTGGACTCTTCACTTTCGATACCACACCTGTGTCGGATTCTCCAAAAATACACTACTTTTGGCGAATCCAACACGCACCCCTTGACATTTTTGAAGAGTCCGAGGAACATAGCTTACTAGTACAAAAATTGAAACATGATAAACTTGATTATTGAGAATAACCACACTCCTCCACAAACAATATGGACACAAGAAATTTAAGCAGCTCTGAACCTTGAGAGTCGCATATTTTAGAATTGTTCTACTAGCTGTTGGAGACTAGGAGCAGTACACTTCAGTATGTTTACAAGAGGATCAGTGGAGATCTTCAAAATCATATGTTTACATGAGGATCAATGAAGATCCTTGCTTAATTGGAGGTAAGTTGGAAAACAATAAGTTCTGACAGGTGACAACAGGGCATAAACCAAGCAGAGATAGCTAAAGCGCATGAACCACCTATGTTTGCAGCACGTCTCTGATTAATCCGAGAGGTGACAACAGTGTTAGTGTTGCAAGATGTAAGCTATACCATATACACATTACAGTATCAATGGCCTTGCATATCAAGCGTCTCATCTAAACGTTTCACTCTTTCAATTCCATCACTAATCAAGAACCGAATTCTCTGCTTGTCATTGCAATTCCTATTATTCTCCATCTCTTGTCTTATAATCTGCCTCAAATCAGCTGCAAACAGAAAGGATTCAATTGAAGTCATTGAACACTATATAAACAACATATTTGAAAAGAGAAAAAGCCTTATACCTAGAACAATTTTCAGAAAGTTTGAACCATTAAAAAATATTACCATGCTCAAAGAATCAGAAATAATTCAAGGGATTAAGAACAAAATAAAATACTCTATGGCTGATAATTAGAGAAGTATGACTGATATGGATAGAAACCTATGTTGCTCGGACTCTTCAAAAATGTCAACTGGTGTTTGTCGGATTCTCCAAAAGTAGTGTATTTTGGGAGAATCCGGCACGGGTGCAGCATTGAAAGTGAAGAGTCTGTGCAACTTAGATAGAAATAACATTTTGATTCACTCTTCATTGCAACATCTCTGCAAAAGAGTTATCTATACAACTTTTTGAGGCAAAATAGACCAACCTTTCTGTTTTTGAAATATTAAGAAGTAACACTATTTAAAGTGACTGTTGAGTCTTGCTTAGCAAAGGCCAGGGTTGCAATGACAAAAGGATGAGCGCAGTTTTTCGGAAACCCCATTTAACAAGTAGTATTTCACAAGTAGTGACATGTCATAGTCACATCTCAGTATTTCATTGATGGACTCTCGTCATGTAATTCTCTCTAGTTCCGGAGTAACTTATTAATGGCTCATAGATTTAGCAGACACCGCAGGCTTCCTCTTTTCTACTTTATACACAAAGTTCAATGGCTCAGTCAACCAAAAGTGTAAACTTTTAACGCATTGGCAAAATGACTTGATCAAACTATGAGATTGCAATAACAACTCACACACAGGAAGAACCCAAAGAGCAGAAAGCACAAAATAACAAAATGTGTCAAACATCCTTGTTATCTCAATTAGTTTAACTTAATAAAGTACAGTAGTAGATTCACCACGAATTAAACAACAGGAAATAGGCTCGCTCTTCCAAGTATATGCCTCACCTCTAGCATGAGGAGGTGCTCTCCTTGAGATTCTCAGAGCATGTCGGTACAGCTTTAGTACTCGGGCACGAACAAGGAAGTCCTCTAATGAGAGAGCCATTCCTGATTCCATCCAATGAAAGGGTTTCAGTTACTCAAAGACAGTAGATTCATTTATGACATAGAAACAAACGACAAATACTGATCCATTTAATGAACTAACAAACCAGGAAACATTACTTTATCTGTAATCATGTAGTAAGATTGAGTTAGGCAAACAGATTACTAGGAGTGGCAAAATTAGTCCATTAAAACATGACTCCCGCAACCCTTCAAAGCTTGGGAGAAGTATGTACCGCATATTTATTAACTTAGACCATCATGACTCATCTAATTCAGTTTATATAAACATTGGCTTATATGTAAGTCAAATTGTCTCATGAGAAACTTTATCTAAACTGCTTTAAAACGACTTATTTTATAATGTTATATGAAGTCGAAGTCAACAAATACTCAGTGTAGTCCCACAAGTAGGGATGACAACTAAACAAGGCAGGGTAAGCTCTTAACGGGGCAGAGAAGCGGAAGATTTAAATGGGGCAGGGCGGGGTAAAACATTTTTTGATGGGTTTAGGGCAGGGCAGGATAGATAAGGAATAGATCTCTAATTCCTTAAGTAGGTTAGTAATATCATAAGCTAAGAAAGTTCAGCGATGGCACAATGAAGTATTATGAGTTAAAAAATTTCAAAACCACTATCCATACACCCCCAATAACTAAGTGAGAGGAAAAAAAAATAAAAATTTACAAGTCATGCTTCACAATTCTGTACTTTGTCAATGGGACAACTCTTTAAAATTATTGTACCTAGTAAAATACTGGAATTATGTTTTCATTAGTAATGACTAATTTTGTTCTTAGTTAATTTAATTTGTTCACTTTCTTCAAATGTTATGCAAGTGTGTAAAAATAAATGCTTTGCTAATAACCGTTTGGGCCATGGATATGAAAAAAAATTCGACTAGGAGAGCCACTCTCAGAAATGAACACTGCAATGCGCAAATCCGGATTTTTTGGGCTCCAATGCAACTACCAAACATTGGGTGGAAAAGCAAAAAAAAAAAAAAAAAAACTTCAAATAGTAAAGAGTGAACGAAAATGTTAAATTGACATGAAAATTGTTTACATACTAAAAACGAAAATGTTAAATTGCCATGAAAATTGTTTACATACTAAAATAAATCTAACTGTTTATGCTAATTAGGAACCTTTAGGTGTTTGTATACAATAGATGTGTTTCAAGTTTGAATTAGTCGGGCAAAATATTTCAGAGAAATTATATTACAACAATCATGCAAAATTAACAATCCAGATGAATCAATTAAAAAGATATTAAAGGCTATTAAAGAAATTAAATTGAATATTAAAAAATAATAAATAAAGAGAAAAAAATTACAAACAGACTAAATGGGGCATGGCAAAATAGGGTGGGGCGGGGCAAGGGAAATTTTCAAGACATAGTAAAAGGGGCAGAACAGGGAGGGTCAATATCTTAGCGGGTCAAGGCTTGCCCCACCCCACCCTACCCCAAGTGTTATCCCTAGCCACAAGTGGAGTTTGGGGAGGACATAATGTTCATAGACCTTTGCGCTACCTTAGGAGGTAGAGAAATGTTATATGAAGTCCTAATGAAGAAAATAAATTATTAAGTGATTAAAAATTTAGAAGAAAATAAACAAAAAGAATTAAAACATGGTAAGAATTGGACGGGATGGGTTATGACCCATGGTTTAGTCCATTTTAACCCAAATCATTTAAGCACAACGTAACCTTTTGGGGGGGGGGGGGGTCAATGACCCACTTATTTATCAACTCAATCCATTTTGACCCACTAAAATCCTACTCCCCAAAAATTCAGTCACCACTATAGGTTACTATGCAAGTGGTACAAACTCGCAAGTCGCAACAACAGTAATCACAAGAAAATAAGGACCAACAACAATTAAGCATCAATCTCAAGCTAGTCAGCATCTGCTATAGGGATGGCAACGGGGCGGGTGCGGTACTATGGGAGGTGACTGGTGAGTGAGCTTTCTATGTGGGGTGAGGCGGATGCTAACAGATATTATAAAATTTTAAGTGGGGCGGGGCATTTGTGGATTGAAACAAATTGCTGAAATTTCAGCATTGATTTCACTGGCATCTGGACTCTAGCAAGACCCATTTGAGAAAACTTGATATTTCTTAATAAGAGTCATGTGAAGTTCTTAATATGTAGGCTGGCATTGTTAGTAGGATAAGGAACATACAACTTGATATTTCCTAATAATGGTCAATGTTGAAATAATAGATACTTGCTAATTAACCGGACTATTCAACAACATGACGAGCTCACAATTACATTTTCAATACAAAAGAACTTATTTCATCCAGTTCCACTATGCAGAAATATCCCACCGAGCCGTTTGGGGGGGGGGGGGTCAATGACCCACTTATTTATCAACTCAATCCATTTTGACCCACTAAAATCCTACTCCCCAAAAATTCAGTCACCACTATAGGTTACTATGCAAGTGGTACAAACTCGCAAGTCGCAACAACAGTAATCACAAGAAAATAAGGACCAACAACAATTAAGCATCAATCTCAAGCTAGTCAGCATCTGCTATAGGGATGGCAACGGGGCGGGTGCGGTACTATGGGAGGTGACTGGTGAGTGAGCTTTCTATGTGGGGTGAGGCGGATGCTAACAGATATTATAAAATTTTAAGTGGGGCGGGGCATTTGTGGATTGAAACAAATTGCTGAAATTTCAGCATTGATTTCACTGGCATCTGGACTCTAGCAAGACCCATTTGAGAAAACTTGATATTTCTTAATAAGAGTCATGTGAAGTTCTTAATATGTAGGCTGGCATTGTTAGTAGGATAAGGAACATACAACTTGATATTTCCTAATAATGGTCAATGTTGAAATAATAGATACTTGCTAATTAACCGGACTATTCAACAACATGACGAGCTCACAATTACATTTTCAATACAAAAGAACTTATTTCATCCAGTTCCACTATGCAGAAATATGATCAGAATTACCACTTCCAGCTATTTCAACAACAGCTCCTTCTTGTCATAATTAAGTGCTAATCTTTTCTAAACTTACTAAGAGGGTAAGAGAATTATAAAATCAATAGTATAGTCTTTTGAACAATCAAAAGTATAAGGATATGAGTATTGTCCGTCCAGCTAGTACCAATATCTAAGACAAGGCAGTCAAAAAGTAGTAAATTAAGACAAGTCTATTAACGACCTTAAAATCATACCAAGAAATCTAATTTATATACCTGTGTGATTCCATGTATACATGTAAATTTTGAATCTCCACACAGAGTGATGTCTAAAGAGATGTATGTATATTAATTTGAACGATTAGGTGAAACATAGAACAGGTAAAAAGTGGAACAATAAAATTAAAGCAAAGGGCACTGAGAACTTCAAATGTTTATAACATGCCTTCCCTACTCAAGTAAATTGAACTAATTTTAAGGAATATCTATTAAGGATTTCCCTCTCTGTGTTATGATCAGCAATAAAAAAATTACAACAATTTGCATACAGAAGAACTTGGTACCAGTTGTTGAAGAGTGCATTCACAAATCAACAAACATTAGCAATACATGTTCATTAGTTTATCTCCTTTCATCTCCAACAGCCTCACTTTTATGAATATAGAATCAATTATAGGGATAGAGCCACTAAGGCAGTGGCTTTAGGCCCAACTCAAAATTACAAATCCTCCCAAGAACCAAAACCCCCCCAAATTTTCAGTTCCCTCAAATACGAAAACATATATATACATATATTCATCCGAAGATGCACAAAAAAATGAAATAAATTCGTCTAACAGGCAAAGATTAAACGAAGAACCAAAAGCACCGAGCAGACAAAAGATGAAGGAAGATACATACATACATAAAAAGAAGACAACCAGATCCGATGAGGGCGATGTAAAATGTTAGTGCTGAGAAGCAATAGCACACTTGGAAGGATCTAAATAGAATATTAATTTTATTTATTTATTTATTGTTCTTATTTAATTAATTTTTTCTTAATAATTTGTTGTTAATATCTTGCGAATTCATATGTACATATTTTTGAAATTTTACTATTGATGAAATTATAATTGAAAATATTAGATAATTAAATTTACCGTTACTTTCTATTTCTTAATTTGTTTAATTCACTTCAATTTGAATCAACCATGTTTTAATATTGACTTTATAAGATTGTCTTTAATTCTTTGAGATGTTTTATCAGAAATTTAAAGCTTAAATTAATTAGAATATCAAATAATCAAATTTTAAAGAAAAAGTTTTTCTTAACTTTGAATTTTTTTAACACTATAATTGATTTTTGTAATTACAAGTAATACGAAATATTATACAAATAAAAAAACGATACTCTAATTGACATATTAAATCAAGTGAAATCTTCATTTTATTTGAAAACACTTTTAGAATAAATTTGATATTTTGTGCAACAATTAACTCTATTAAAAAGATTTTAAAACTATAATCAATAACAAAGATTTAAACATTTGGGCTATTATGTAACGTACAATAATTTATATATGTTTTACAACATATTACAAATATCAATTGAAAATGAAAAATTAATTAATAAATTATAAAAAATTACCATATAATTTTAGAATTTATGAAAATAAAATATAGGAAAAACTACACAAATTGAATCCACTAGAAAAAAATATTTATCTAAATTGGACCCAACCCATTATATTTGGGAAAAATTGGCTAACTAATCATGATTACTAACTTATTTATTGAAAACAGTCATACTTCAAAAATATTATTAAAAAAAAACAGTATTTTAATTATATAGCAAATTGAGTATATTTTAATCTAGTTCCTAAATTATTTAAACTAAATCTCATGTTTTGGACACAAATTGATTACTCATGTTCTCTCTCATTCAATTTCATTATTCCATTCCCTAATTCTTCCAAATATCACGCTTCACTCTCCAAAATATTGCACAATTTTTTTTCTTTTTACAAAAATTGGCAAAATCCCATCACTTCATTCCCTCCTTGCTTCTTCCGACCCTTCTTTTCTCGCTTCTCTATTTCTAAAATATTGCACGTTTTTCTTTCTTTCCAGAAATTGACAAAAAAATTATAGAGATATACATCACAATTCCACAATCATACAATCCCACTAATTAAGGTAATCATAGGTTCGGCATACAACCTTTAGGATTTCTTTGGATTTTTAGGAATTTGATTTCGATATTTTTGTATTTTATTGTTCTATGTTTTCGTTTGTAGCTATTTAGATTTTTGTGTGTTCTTGTGTTTTTCAATCTCTCCATTTTCAGCTAGGGTTTTAGATAACGGAAAAAACACAAAAATAGCACTCCAATGTTTGATTCGCATAGGACTACAAAAGGTATCTGTAATGACCCGGAAATCTAGCAAGTGAAACTAGAGCCTAACTAGTGTGTGATTGAGTTTGATGTGGAGTTTGAAGTTGTTAAATGAGTTCCCGAGCTTAGGTTGAGGGGTTTAGGGGTTAAACGTCAAGGTACGACCCCCCAAGGACCAACCAAGGGTCCTTGAGGAGGATCCTAAAGCCTAACCCCAAGGCTGCCCCAAAGAGCAAAAGCTGCCAAAAAGTTCTTGACCTACAGATGGGCACCCACAAGTCGTGGGTGGACTCACGCCCCGTAGGTGGGGGGCGTGGGTCGAGGCTTGACCTCCCCTGTTTCTCCTAGGATCCAATCCCAATCCCCGATTAGCCAGCAAGGCTCGTGGACCCACCCACGGTCCGTGGGTGGGATTTCGTGAGTCACACCTGAGTTGCTGTCCAAGACTCGGCCAAGGTAATGGCAACTTAGTAAATTCCTATTTAATTAGTTAGGGGTTGGGGACGGCTATTATTGATTTATTAGAGTTATTTAAAGATTTTAAAAGTATTAAAACACCTTTTTCAATTCATTATTTCCCAAACACAAATTAGAAACTACCTCTCTTCCAAATATTCTCCCTCTAGAAACCACCATTGGAGAAGAAGGATTCAAGCTTTCAAGCTCAAGATTTCACTTTTCTCACCCAATTTTCGTGGAGTTTCTTCCATAAAGGTATGATACTCTTCATCCTCAATTAAGTTTCATTCAAGGAGCCCTATCAAAAGATGATTTCAAGTTTCCAAAATCCCCCCAAAAGCTAGGGTTTTCAATCTAAGCATGGGTTCAATTCCAAAACATTTTCAAAGGTTTATATGTGATGAATTATGAATGAATTGGTGAATTAATGGTGAATTATGATGAATTCCCCTATGAACCCATGTTTCCCCAAAATACTAAATTGGAAGTTTGTGATTTGGGTTGATTGATTATGGGATCATGTTGAATTGTTTATCTCTATATTGAATTAGTTATTGAATCATGATATTTCCCTGATCTAATGCAGTATTCTAGATGTTTGGGTTGAGATTGATTCATGGTCTTGAAGGGCAAAGTATGAAGGATCTATGTATGATTATGATGTGAAGTATATGCATGTGGTTGCAATGAAAGTGTTATGATCATGTTTAGAATGCAATTGTGTTATTATTGAAAGGTTATTCTCAATTTAACACTTATGAATGATGATGATATATGTGAAAGGTTATTCTCACATACACACACTCATGAATGAAGTTTCTAAGATTATGTTAATGATGATGTGTTGATTAAAAGGCTATTCTCTTGTACACTAATGAATGATAATGACATGTTGTGAAAGGACTTTCTCACAATATGGGGATTCTTAGTTGAAAGTTTATTCTCATCTTTGAATCTATCAACTATCTAATGAATGAATGTTGGGTTTGAGAAGGATACAGTTGAGGCGGGGTATCTAGTAACAATCTCTTATTCCATAATAATGAACTAAAGTAATGAATGTCAAGTACTCAGTGGGGAATAATGCTAAGCACCGAGTATATATGGATTGAGATGGATGCTCAACCGTGAGTTGAGGCGGGCTATCTAGTAACAATCTCTTGAGATGGATGCTCAACCGTGAGTTGAGGCGGGGTATCTAGTAGCAATCTCCCTATCCCATAACTATGTGCCCACATAGGTTTATAGCTAGTGGATCCACCTAAGCTAAATGTTAACGGCCTTACTTTAGGCAAGTAGGAATCCCTTATTCAGTGTGGGTAACATCGGGATTCCATGATTCTCTCACATGGTCTATGTCGGTTAAGGCTTACCCCCACAAAGAAAGTTAATGAACTATGGCTTCTCAAGAATGCACTACTTAGTGTGGGTGGTAGTATGAGATTCCATCCATGCATTGCACAAGTAGACTTTGATAGTAGTCATGGTGTGTTCCTTTATGTTATGATGTTTTAAGATCAAGGATATGAGTTGGGTACTATGTTACTCAAGAAGTTCTATGAAGTGTGGGTGGTAGTATGGGATGTCATTCATGCATTGCACGAGTAGGCTTTGAGAGGGCAATGGTATGTTTCTCAATGTCATAATGTTGAATGAATTGAATGAGCTTATGATGATGCTAATGAGAATGTTGATATAATGTCTAATGAAATGAATGTGCTTATAATGATGCTAGTAAGAATGTTGACTTAAATGCTTAATGTAATGAAGTATGCTTTACTTGGATTGTATTATGAGTTACTTTCCTTGTCATGACTTATGAAATGTATGTGTTCCTTATGTACGAGTATTGATTAAAGATAAGTATGAAAATGGTTAGTTCATCTAGGGTGACCTCAAAGTGGTACTTAGTGGGAATAGTAGTATGGGATGCTATTCTTACATTGCACAAGTATAGCTTAGGGTTACTTAAGGTGAATGTTCTAATGTGATGAAATGGCTTATATGTTGAATGCGATTGCATCTTATGCCTTTTGTACTAAAGTTCATGATGTTTTCTCAAAATTGGCATAATGCATGGTTTTCAACCAAATGTCCGTTTTAAGCATGATTTTTGCATGGCTATCATACTTAGTACATTTTTGTGTGTTAACCCATATTTCTACATTTCTACAAAAGTGTAAGGTTTGGAGACTTGATGTTCTATTCTTGAAGGATAGGTTTCTAAGGAGCATGGAGTTGAAGATTTGGTGAGTCCTCATAGTTTCAAGGACGAACCCACTGTGTCCCTTTATGTCTTTTATTATTATGTTTAGAGCTTTTGTATGGGCTGCATCCCAAAGTTTTAAGTCTTATGGTTCTAGATGGTTTGAGACAAAGTATAGAAAAAGACTTCCGCTTGCTTTTATGAAAAATGACTTCGATTGTAAAGAAAAGTTTTAAATTCCGCACTATTTTTCCTATTCTCTTATGTTATGAATGCTATGAGGTTTGTATGAGGCTCTTCGGAGTCTTGTACACCATGTCACATTCAGGGTGTAGGCTCGGATCGTGACAGTTTCTCATATAATCATCAACTTTTTGAGGATTTTTCCTCTTTTGATTTATGCATTACTCAAGGATTATTCGTAAATGTAGGTTCTGCGGCTAAAATGGCTTAAGAGAGGAGATTTAAGTTTCTTCATGATTGTACTCACATTCAAGTTCAAGACAGCTTTGTCAGCAAGGTAAATACACTATTAATTAAAAAAATGGGTGCTGAAGATATTGAAAAACTTGCTGAGATCAAGTTAAGGAAGAACAATTTCATATTTGTTTGTTTTGTATTTATAGTTTTTTCAGAATTTTGTATCCTTTCTTAATTTGTATTCAAGCGAGCATGTATGCTATTAATATTTGTATTCATTCAAAATCTCGTGTTGCATAGTTTATAAATCTTGTATTTGTTCCTAATTTGTATCCAACTCAAAGATATGCCAACTAGTTATGTATTTTATTTATAGGAAGAACAACTTTCTATTACTTTGTTTTTTTTTTATAGTTTTTTTCAGAATG